TCCCCCTCAACCCCCACCCCTTGAAAGCCCACCACCTGAAGGCTAGGAAAACCTAACTGCAGCCCAGGTTGCCCCCTTGTGCGAGGCGGAGGACAAATTCGGTGTTGCCCCCCCCACCCCCATCCCAGCTACGCGTCCTTCAAATGCGGGGGCAGGCATGGGGCTGGCCCGACGCCCCTCTCTGAGCTCTGGGATGAGAAGAGCTACACCGCTCCATGTCTGGCAGTGCCGGGCGGAGCCGCTCTATCTCCTCAGCCCCCAACCTGACCGAACCTCTTCCCTCTAAGGGGACCCGCCTTCCCTCCCCAGCCCCTCACCTGTTCCAGCTCCCAGCTCTGCCGCTGCTACCGCCGCCTCCGCCCCCGCAGGTTCCGCTCGGCTCCCGCTCTCTTTCCTCCGGCTCCCCAAGCCGACTTCAGCGCCGCTGCTCTCCTGGCCCGTTCCCCAGCTCCCTCCTTCCTTCCCTCCACCTAGCACCGGAAGCCGCGACCGCAACAGGAGCTGTGCGGCGCACCCCCACCCCAGCCCAGGATACTTCCCACCTCCACGATCGCGCGATAGCTGCACGGTACCAAGCGGCAATTCTCGCGAGACCCATCACCATGGCAGCGGCTGCAGCAGAAGCAGCCCAACACTGGAGCTTGAATCTAGGCGGGGGCTGGTGTGGGGGCTGGAGGCTGCAGGCGGCGGAGGCGGGAGCCTGGAGCCTGGGAATGGGCATGCGACAGTGAGGACTGAGGTGAGACCCCTCACGCCCCAGAGCCATGCCTAGAATTTAAAGGACTGAGGTCACTTGCTGATTGCACTGGAGACAGGTTGAGCCAAGAGGTACAGGGGCACCATGGGCAAAGCTATAAACGGAATATGGGTGAACAGTCTTTGCTGCGGCCTGCTTTACTGTGCCAGACTGCTTTATTTCTTATCCTGGGCTACCTGCATACCCCTGACAGCTGCACCGTTTTTGCTACTCACTATTCCTAAGACTATATTACAGCAAGACCTGAATCAAGAGATCCTTTCCCACAAGGAAGAGGAGGGAGAGGAATTAATTCAAGAGACTAAAAGAAAAAAAAACTGGATTCTAGGTCATTTAGGAAACTGGAACTTGAAAGACAAAAGGCTGAAGCCTAATATTCAGAGTTGTTGTCTGGGGAAATATATCTAGATTAATGTGGGTTTTAGCATCAAGAGGAAAAGTGAAGGTCTTTACACCCATGTTTCTCACTTCCTACCCATCCCCACTTCTCTCACACTTATTTTTGCACCTGTTCCACACATGCAGAGGTGCCTTGGAACAGTCACAGCTGTGATAGAAGCTGTGCTAGAAGGGCACTAATAAGGCTAAGAACAGAAAGTTCTTTAGGTTCCCTCTCATTTACAGCAGTGTAAAGGAACACATGCCTCATCCTTCAAGCATGAGCCAAAATTTTTATTCTGAACTTTATTCCTTGTTTTTTGTCTTCATCTAAGAAGGCCTAGACTAGTAGATAGCCTAATTATGTCTATCCCCTTGACCCCATCAGGCCCTGGTTTATGCACTCACTAGACCCTTCTTTTCCCAAAGTCTTGTTTTCCCAAAGAATAACATGACCTTGGAATGTGAAGCCAAGAAGACCCTAATTTAAAATGGTGAGAGATGAGATAGATAACAAGGATAATCTGTCCTGGCCCATTCCTATTAAGAGTCTTTGCCCTGCTAAGTTCTGTGTTTATAAAAGCAAAAGACTTCTCCAATGTTATTACACACTACTAGAGTAGGACTTGTGATATCTTTATATATCACCCTTTCTAGAAATGGACATAGTTACTGTAACAAAAATTTCTAGCAACACCTCTCACCAGGTCATACCCCCATACTAACCACCAAAATAATGCTCTACAACAACCTCTTCCCTGGTGCTCTAACCAGACCAACATACCTTGTGAGAGTCTGATAAGGAAATGGAAACTGTTAATGGATGTCTGCCCAAGATTTCAAATAATCTCAAAATCATATCCCAGGTATGACAGGGTGGAAATGGTGACAACCTAATATAGTTATCAGCAAGTGTCATGATATTTGACTCAGGACTAATAAATGGGACTAGAGACTCTCCTAGCTCATCTATACATCACCCCTCTGGAGTAAGGAGAAGAAAATGTCTGTTGTAGCATAAGAGGGGGCCACCCAAGAAACAAACAGGAACAGAGATAGGAGTGCTGCCTAGTTGGCAGTTAGCTGACCACTGCCGCACCCAGTTTTCCAGCCACCTGATAAAGGGTAAAGAAAGAGCTCATCCAAAGCTGAAGGACACCCAGAAGCCTTACAGTTCATCAGTCTTTTTCCTCTCTCCGGAGCCTAGTAAAAGCTGAAATTGTAGGCACCAGCTGTATGGGTTACATATTCCCACTCCATCTCTGACTCCAGGCCTGGGCCTGAGCCCAGCACATGTGCTAGAAATGGAGCAGGGAGGTGTAGGCCTTGCTGACAAAATCCATTTGAAATTCGTCAAGGTTGTGATTTGGGGCTTATGTTTGTCACAGAGTGTGTCTGATGAAAGAAGAGGGAAAGCTAGAAAAGGAGCCAAAGGGACTACAGAAAAAGGAAAAAGCTGACGTATTCTTGCTACAACTCCATTGGAAATTCTCCTTCTTCTTGCTAAATGTGAGAAATTCCCATTCTGGATATTCTTTATCATTATTCTCTCTATATCCTATGCCCACTCTAGCCACCTTCCTTCCCCGCCACCACCCCCAATGCTTACAACAAATGCCTAAAGTAAAAATGGTATAATTTCTGGAACCTAGGAACTACCAAATCCAGAATTTTCATGCTCAAATTAAAATTCAGGACATAAAACATTGCCATAGGGTTGGCGATCTCAGTGATAGAGTGCTTGCCTAGCGTGCATGAGGCTCTGGGTTCAATCCTGAGAACCACAAAAAAGATAGAGAAAAGAAAAGATAAGCTGGGCAGGTACCCATGGCACAGGCCTGTAATCTCAGTGGATTGGAAGGCTAAAGCAAGAGGATCGCAAGTTTGAGGCCAGCCTTAGCAATTTACTAAGACTCTGTCATAAAATTAAAAAAATAAGCCAGATGTGGTGGTGCAAGCCTATAATCCCAGCTGCTCAGAAGGCTGAGGCAGGAGAATCACAAGTTCAAAGCCAGCCTCAGTTACTTAGCAAGACCCTAAGCAATTTAGCAAGATTCTGCCTCAAAATAAATAAAAGGGCTGGGATGTGGCTCAGTCATTAAGTGCCCTTGAGTTCAATCCCTGGTACAAAAAAAATTATAACTTTATTTTTATTTGTTTATTTTTATGTGGTGCTGAGGATCCAACCCAGGGCCTCACACGTGCAAGGCAAGTGCTGTACCACTGAACTACAACCCCAGCTCCCCCCCAAAAAATATTTTTTAATTAATAAATAAAAAGGGCTGGGAATGAAGCTTGGTGGTAAAGTGCCTCTGGATTCAATCCCCAGTATCCCCCCCAAACAAAAAAAATTTTTAAGAAATAAAAGGAGGGGCTGGGGTTGTGGCTCAATGGTAGAGCAATTGCCTAGCATGTGTGAGGCACTGGGTCTGAACCTCAGCACCACATAAAAATAAATAAATAAAATTATAAAATATATTCATTTTAAGAAAGAAAGAAAAGGAAAAAAAGTTGTCATAAATTACTGCCCTATCTCAACACTTCTCAAAATTTCCTAGCTACCCCAGTACTACTCTCATTTCACCTGATTTGAGGGTCATTTGGGTTGCAGAAATATCTATTGCTTAGAGAAGTGGAAAGAACTATTTCTACATTCCCTTGCAAAGGACATGACCTGTTAGTCATTTGTAAAATTCTAAATGTGTAATGCATATCCCTTTTTAGCACTGAATCATGGGAAGATAAGTTTATTTTCAAATATATTGGACTAGACATTCCCTGGTTGTATAATAGTTAGGAATTGGCCTCTCAAAGGTATTAGGCTGGAAAAAGAGAGGCTGGAACCAAATAATAATAATAGAATTATTTTACTAAGATTAAATGCAAAAGAATTCTGAAAAAAAAGGACAAGCCTGATAGGGTAGTTTAAAACCTGTAGCCCCAGCAACTCAAGAAGCTGAAGCAAAAGGATTACAAGTTCTAGGCCTGCCTCAATACTTTGTGAGATTTTGCTACACAATAAAAAATTAAAAGGGAGGGGGGATGTAGCTCAGTGAGAAAGTACCCCTGGTTCAACCCCTACCCCCCCCACACCCACACACACCAAAAAAAAAAAGGACAAAAATACATAGGCAGTAAACTCAATGGGAGAGCATACTGTTTTTTTGCTGGCTTGGAGTGGGACGAACAACTCATTTTGACATAGGAATCCCTTTTCTATGCTTCCCGTCAGTCTTACATCTATCTCCCAAATTCTCTGGTTTGGAGACTAAGAGGGACCTGCTCTTTTGGGTTCACATTCAATGCTGAAATACCTTTAAGAATTTAAAACTCCAAAGAAAAACTCATAATACAGGTAGATGTCATCAAACTACAGCCAGAGGACCAAATCAGTCCTGCAGCCCAATTTTGTGAATTAAGTTTTATTGAATTTAGTCATGCCCATTCATTTATGTATGATCTATGGCTACTCTTTGCTCCATAAGAGCAGAGTTGAATAATTGAGACAAAGATTACAATGTAGATAGCCCAATATGTATACTATCTTGCCTTTTATAGGGAAAAAAATGCCAAACTTGTTTTAGGCAGTGATCAAGATAACATCTGAAGTTGAGGTACACAAATACTAAACAGGGTCTACATTTGGATCTCTAATGCCACCTAGAAGTAAACCCTACCCCTGGTTTCACAAAGAAAAGGATGCCAACTAAGTTACTGAGGATGATTTCAAATCCTTTGTAGAACTCAATAGGATGTGTGTATATAAAGTCATTGAGTATAGGAGGGTAGGAGAAATCACCTGGAAAAGAAACTATGGAATAAGATCCCAACTTTGGCTAAATATATCACCATGTACATCCACCAGTTCAGTAACTTAATTTATTTTAGTTTCAAACTGGAACCAAGAACAAGTCTCAGTACAATAAATTATCCATTCCCATTCCTCCTGCTAAAGAAGAAAAAACAGGCTCCAAGAATCTTAGGTAAACCCTTCCTTTGGCAGGTCCCCTTTAACATCTGAATGGAAGGAAACAACTTCCCTAAGGGTCTACATGGATAGTTTTTGTGAGATTTGGGGGAGAGTACTCTCTAGTACTCTGTTCCTTCCCCAAGAAAAACTTCTCTACTCCTACTGTCTCCCTTGACCCCACAAGAGAAAGTCTAGGCTGTGGTAGAGAATTATGGGAAAGGTAACATGAGTGGTGATTCCTTTCTAGAAACTGGTCTTAATGGCTCCACACAATGCTTGGACTATCCCTTAAGGGAGAGGACAGCCAAACCTTAAGGAATCCCCCCCCCCCCAAAGGAGTATGAACAACAGAAGCCTGGAGTTGAGAAGGGGCCCTGGATTTGAGAAGAGGGGAGCATGACAGTGCATTTCAACTTAGTCCATTCAGATGTTTAAGGAGCAAAATAGGGGTAACAGTTTCCCCCAACCACCCTGCAACTATGGGGAAAAGGCCGCACATCACAGACCTCACCTAAACCTCACCACTCCCAAAGCCATTTCCAGATAGATACTTTGAACTTCCAGGGTGTCAAGATTGACCCTAAACAGAAATCAGAGCAAAGGGCTGAAAAGCTGCCCTTTCACACAGTACCTTTACCTAGTGCCAGGGTCAGGCTCACCCTCACTTACATACATTGACCCACTCTGTGACTTTGCACTCCTCACACAGCACATAGCAGCACCAGTGGAAACGGCAATGGCAGCGCTCAACTCTTGTCTGCCGGAGCACATTGTGCCCTCGGCCACAGCATAGACTGCCACAGCCATCCAACAGATGGCTGGTCTTGTTGCAGGCTCGGCCCCTTGTGCCTGGGGAGCCCACTGTGGGGTCTCGCTCACAGAAGTCAGGAGATTTTTCAAAGTAGACCAGCTCTCCTGAGAGGCGTCGAGGACGCAGGCGGGGTTGGAAGGCTCCAGAATTGCGGTTGTGGGTATCAATGAAGATGGCTCGACCCAATCGCTCCCTCAATGCTGCCCCCACAGCCCGGAACTCTGGGACCGCTCTCCAGCATGTCTTGAACTGGCAGCTGCCTGAAGTGCCATGGCACTTACATTTCCGCTTTAGGTTTTCAGTTACCACCTAGAGCATCAGAGGGGCACAGGTGAAGGGGAGGCAGCAAATGGAAAGAGCATGTAGACATAGGAAAGGGAAGGAAACAGAGAACACAAGGAGGAACAAATGGAATATCAGAAGAGAAAGGGCATTTTAAAGTTAGCTAATAGCTCAATTCCCTCATCATATAATTGAACTGAAGCCATCGTATAATTGAACTAAATCACTAAGTGATTTGTTTTGTGTGGGTATGGCGGAGTGGGGGAGTGGGGGGGGCAGAATATGATAATGGGTATTGAATCCAGGTGTGCTCTACGACTAGCCTACAAAAGCCCTTTTTATTTTATTTTGAGACAGTGTCTTGTTAAGTTGCTCAGGCTGGCCTCAAACTTGTGATTCATCTGCCTAAGCTTCCTGAGTAGCTGGGATTACAGGGATGTGCCACCACACCTGGTTGGATTTGCCCATCTTTGATCACCAACTGGTAACAGAACCAGAACTCAACTCCAGTTTTCTGGACTCTCAGTCCAGAGTAAGATTGGTAAAATGGAAAGTGTAGCCCAGAGTGCCCCTCAGGTCTTTAGGGAAGGCAGCTGTAATAACAGCCACCGTGTAACAAGCCAAGGACTAGGCACTGTGTGGGGTACCCTATTTGCTAGCTTAGCTTTAAAGATGTTGTGATATGGTTATCATCAGATTCTTTGTACAGATGCAAATCCAAGGCTGGGTGACTTGCTGATGGCAAATGGAGATCACCCACCACCCCTCATCCTCTTACTCTGCTGGGCTTCTGGGCTTCTCACACTCTAGCCTGACCTTAATAGCAAAGGAAACCAGGATAAGGCCCACAAACATACCTGGCGTCCCACCCTGTTGTTGTGAATTCTCATCCGTGCCTGGATGTCCCGAGGACCTTCCCTGGAATCCAAAAAATCCCGAGAGAACTTCTCTCCAAAGTCCATGTCATGGTTACAGCCACCCCATTCCCATGTGTCCTGGGGGCCAGAACTGGGGCTTGAGCCTGGGACAGGGCTGGGCAGGGAGTGGGGAAAACTCTTGCCCCGGGACAGTGCCTGCAACTGCAGCAGTTTGGCCCTCAGCCGATCCTGCTCACCACTGCCCTTCCAGCCACAGCCACAGCTCACCAGCTTGCCCAGGCTGCAGGCAGTGGCAACAGCATGCATGACTCCAGCAGCCAACATGGAGAAGGAGAAAGCACTCTCACGGAAACCTGGGGATGATAAGGATTATAATGGTGGAGGTAAGGTTGACAGGCAGCTGAGAATGGGGAGGCAGGAGGAAATAAACAGCCATCCTCCAATTCCAAAATTTTCTAATTGAATCCTGACCCTGCTATATTCTAGCTGAGTGATTGGGAGAAAGTTTAACAGGACAAGAAAGGAAATAGCACAAAGCTTGTTTCCTCATCTATAAAAGCAGACTCATTGATCAAGATGCTCTCTGAGGTCCATTCTCACTCTGATTTTCAGGTGTAGATAAAAGAGCCAATCCAGAGGGAGAGACCCTTGGGGTTGGGCGATGACTAAGAGGGAATCCCTGAGAAGATGAGAAAATGTATTCATAGAGTTCTACATCTGAAAGCCTTAGGAATTCCCCAGCCCTGCAGGAGCTGGAGTGGGGTGGGAGCAGAGAATTTTAGGGTTCTTTTGTATTCCCCTGAAGAATTATTTAAATCAGTCTTTTAATCAATCTACCCTCCATTACCCCACAGAAAACCCCAAAACACTGGAGCTATGGAGTTACCCTTCCCTTTCCCAGATTCTAGTTATATATTTGCCCTTCAAGACTGCCCTTTATGTTTATCATAACCTGCTATTACTCTATAAAACACTGGGAGGAGGAGAGAGGAGGGGGTGATTTTCCCTAAGGCCCTCTTAAAAGGTTGGCCTCTTTGTTATGTTTTTGGGGTCATGGAGGCTCAGGATGACAAGCCTTTCCCAGGCTTAGATAGATGTGCTCACCATTTGGGTGTCAAAGCCTTCCCCTAAGCCAGGCCCTGAGGTGAAGAAAGGGTCCCTTACTTCATTTTAGGCAGGGGCTCCAGCACCCTCTTAGAGGCCAGGTCTCTCTTACACTGGGATTCAGGGCTCCCAGGCCAGCCTCCTGATCCCCCCAATCCCAACCCTCTAAGGGTGAAGCTGTTTGCACAAGTCTTGGGAATTCCCCTGCAGATGGCAGCTGCTTATTAACCCCATAGTCCCCAAAACACTACACCCACCCCAGGCTGAGCCCCCATGGATCTTTACTCCTCAGGGAGTAAACTTAAGCAAGGCATAGGTACTGACAATAAAATCTCCCAGATCATCCCTTCCAGACCTGGCCAGCAGTGACCTGTTCTCTGTCCCTCCAGCGTTCCTCACCTGCTCAGGTGAGTGACACCTGGGCTCCCCACAGCACAGAGGAGGGGGCTGCTCCCCAGCTTCAAAGCCATCAGGGTCTTTGTTCCCAGCTTTGGCTCCTGGGAACCCCAGCAATTAGGGGAGCAGGTTTAACCCTTAAACGGTTGGGGGCGTCACCCCACCCCCGCTGGGGACACTGGCCTGGGCTTGTCCCGGTAGAGAGGGAGGGGGAGAGAAAAATAGGGGAGGGAACAGGGGAAATTTGAGGCTTCCAGGGCTGGGGGCATCTCTTGTTCACAGGTGCAATCCAGATTGAGCTGGGCAGAGGCAGGAAAGAGGGGGCCCTGGGGTAGGGAAGCAGGGACCCAGCTGCCTTGCCAGCAGCGCACAGGTGGAAATCGGGACTGCAAAGCCACGGACGGACGGACGGGTGGCCAGACCCGGCTCAGCGCTGGGGCGGGGGGAATTCCCGAAGAGGCCCCTCCCGAAGCCATGAACCGGTCTCTTCCCGCCTCCGCTCGCCTCAGCCTGCCCCCCACCCCCTAGCTTCGGCTGCTGCACGGTCCCGCCCGCCAGGCTCACCACGCTTCAGGATGGCGCTGTGGTGCGGCAGGCGGCCGCCGCCCTCGAGCGCCGAGCAGTTCCAGCGCTGGTCGCGCAGCTGGTACTGACACTCGTGGACAGCGATATGCAGACCTTGAAGGGCGGACGCCGTCACGTCGGGGCTGCGCAGGCACAGGCCTAGCTGCCGCTTGCTCAGACCCGACAGCGTCAAGCACACGGTGTTGGCCGTCAGCGACGGCTCGCCCGGCAGTTTCAGGCCCAGAATCTCATTGCTTAGAGCCCTGGGAACAGAAAAGGCGTCTGGGATCTGTGGATCAGGCCGCACACCTCCCTCCCAATCTCCCCACGCCAGGTCAGTGCTTCTCTCGTAGTCTGGAAGACAGGGGGATCTGCTCACCTACTGCACAAGGCCAGGAATAGAAGACCCGCGAAGCCCGAGGGCGGAGGCCGCTGCCGGGGCTCCTCCAGCATGTCGAAGCCCGGAGGCTCCGGTGCGCAGATGATCAGCGCCTGCGGGACAGGGAGATTTAATGCTAGCTCTGAAATATGGTTGCTCCCCAGGGAACCGAAGGATGCCCTACTTAGGTCTCCTAAGCCACCGGTGCCAACCTCACTGACCCTTTTCACCCCTCTCCAAACCAAGCAATTAGAATCACCCCCTTGATTTCCAGAGTCCCTGAGTCTTGGAGTGCTGGAAGAGAAAGAGTCCAGGTCACCCAACTAAGGACTCACCCGAAGGCCCCTGGAGCCCAGTCCAGTTAGACACAATGCCCGGCACACAGACACACTCACATGCAAATACAGACTTGCAAACACTTGCTCCAGGACCTCACCCACTGCTCCCTCTGCTCCCTCCTCAAGGGCCCCAAGACTGGCTTCCCCACCCTTATAGGGCTAAGGGGGTGGGATCAGGAGGGGGTTCCCCACCACCTGGGGGCGGGAGGGGGGCGTTGCCTCCAGGTGCCATCAATGGCAGGCAAGCTCCTTCAGAAAGGTCGAAGACTGGGCTCTCCACCCAGCTCTACCCCCTCCCTGCACTACAGAGAAACAGGAGAGGCTCCAGGTGCAGCAAAAGAGGAGGGAAACTTGGTGCTCCCCAGCAAGGGATGGTGTGGCAAGCTGGGTCCTCTTCTCTGTCCACCCTTTCCTAAGTAAATGCTCCCCTCCTCAGCCTGCGACCGTCTGGTCCCCACAGGTCCCAGCCTCGGTCCCCACCCCTTTGCCTTGGTGTTCATTGCCCTCTAAATCTGGAAGCACTCCTTTATTCTCTGTCTTTATCTCTGGCAACATCTTTGGCTCTCTGCGTGTCTGTGCTCTTATGGGTGGATGTGTCTGTCTGACTACCCGTGTGCCTGTCTGGTCCTGGGTGCGCGCCTCGTTGCCCTTCCTGCTTTCCCATGTCCGATTACCTCCAGCGGTTCGGGTGCAGAGTCCGTGACCCACACGGTTGGGTCGCCTGGGCTCCGCTCGGACTGCTTAAACCGTGGGGTGACTGCGACGGGTTCTGCCCCTTCGGCAGAGCTGCATTCTTCCAGAGCCGGGCCACTCCTCTTCGCCGCTTCCCCAGCGCCGCCGCGGCCGCCGGGAGGAAGGGAGGGAGGGAAAGAGGGAGTGATAGAAAGGGCTAGCGAACGAGCGGGCGAGCAAAGCACTGGGGGCTCTGGCTCTGCTCGAGCCGAACTGACGGGTGGCTCTGCTAGGGCTGACGAAGCTATGGCCCCTCCCCGAGCCCCGGGCATCCCCACCCCACCCCCCTTTGACTAGGGGAACGCAGCCGCTCCCCCTCTTCCCAGCGCGCGCGCACACACACCCTCTCCCCCGACGCCTGGGTTCACGCTTGGTCCTCCTGAAAGAGGAGGTGGCCGGAGTTTCTTTCACCTGCTCTGGGGTCACTAAGGACGTATAGGGAGGATGCCTGGCCCAGATTAGGGAGCCAGGACCCAGCCCAAGTGACCAAATCTTTCATTGCTCTTTGCCTCAGTTTCTCCCACCGACAGTGGGATGGGTGGACAGCTCTTTGACAAGGGGAGGAGGGAGCTGGATTATCTTCTCCTTCAGGCGTTTGACAGTCACTTATAGAACCCACAAGGTGAGCACACAGCAGGGCACTCAGTACCTGCAGAAAAAGCCAATGAGACCAAGTGGCTTGGCTCCTGCCCACCTCCCAACCCTACCCCAACCCCCTGGGAGAATTTGACTCTAGTCAAAAGGTTCAGGTAGCCCCAAAGATCTGTATCTCGCGCCTATGCTTGTCTTCCTCCGTAGGCATACTGCCCAAAGAGGTCTCCTATCATTGGTGGATTCCTGGCTTTGCACTTGGGAGGACTGTATTCCTGCTCCAGGCTCCTAGACTTGCTTCACATGGGCTGAGGAGTGCTTCAGAATCCCAAATTGAGCCTAGCTCAGGGAGAGCCGGGAAGTAATCTGGTCTTGGGGTGCACAAGCAAGACAAAATGCCTTAGGTAGCTCCAGCGGCAGCGAAGGGGTTAGGCGCCGCTGCACTCCCGCCTGACTCACCCTAGTAGCTCTAACCACTGCGGACTATTTTTGCCAGAGAGGGGCCCCAGGCTTCCCAACCGCCCCCAGCCCCTGCCAGACCACAGCCTAAGGCACTGCTGGCCCTGTGCACTCAAGCGCATTGACTCAGAGACCAGCCCCCCAACCAAGTAAGCAGAAGGACGGAGATGATACCCACAGCCACAATCACCTCTTCCTTGGTGGTGGCAACAGCTCTGCTGGGCAGCCAGCCTGGAGTCTGTGCTGTGGCAGGTCCTGCCTTGTGCTGAAGGGGGCACTCCTGGCTAAGGGGCATAGCAGTCTGAGAGAAATCAGGAACTTAAATCTACTGGGATGTTTACTGGGCACATACTGAACAGTCTAGGGAAGTAAGTGCCATAGTTCCTGACATTGGACAGCATGGACCACAAATGGTTGCTTTTCTTTTATTCCCCATCTCTGGGGTGGGAAGAAGAAGGCCAAGAACTCCTGAACAGCCTTCCTATTTATAGGATGCGACCCAAACACGTGTGACTGTTGAGGTCACCAGAATCTGAAAGCCCTGTCTTGTAGCTTTCATCCTTACACCTGGATTCAGTGATTCCTACCAGTGTCCTCATCCTTTTTCCTCATGTCAGCCTGGGATTCCACCCAGGTCCCTGGAAAAGGAGGTAATGAAGTTTCCTATGCCCCTTTTCTCCATGGGGACCTCATACACATTTGTATTTCTTCATGAGTCTCTGGTCTCCCTCAAGTTTTGGATTTTGTCCAGTTTTAGTTTGTTTTTGTTTTTGCCTTTGATTCTATCCTCAGACTCCAGGCAGGTGACAAGATGGGACCGGGGTCAGAACTATTGCCATAAGTTTCAACATCTCAGTGATTGGGTGGCTGTCCAAGGTGGATGTTTCAAATCCAAGGATGCATATGCCTGCTCCCTCTCCTCACTGAAGCCTAGCTCTGGGATAGGAGGCCACAAGCAGGCTGACTGGGTGGCCTGAGCTGGCCCACAGTGCCCTCAGCCCGACCGGCTGGCCTGAGCACTGACCCGCAGGCAGCTAAAGGGCGGTGGGACAGGCGGGGCCTGGAGAGGGCTGCGGGTGCACACCCATTGCCTAATACCCGAAGCACGCGGCCAGCTCCAGGAAAGGGGAGGGGCAGGAACCAGAGAGACCTTGACTAGGGTTGGGGCTATGACAGGAGGGGGCGAATGGGGGGCTGTCATCACTGCAGCAAGGGAGTGGGAGCAAGCTGGTCCCCATTCCTCTCAATGAGAAGAATAAAGGGCTGCTCTTCCATTCATGAGGATGGAGGGCGTAACAGAACAATGTGGGAAGAACACTGGGGCCCTGGAGGGCGGGGGTCAAAGAAAAAAGTGGGGGCCCCTGGAGATTGGGGGAATCAAGTAACTGAGGCGGTGGCTAAACCCAGTCACAGCCTCGGGAACCTCCTCCTCCTCCTCCCCTCATGTTTGCCTTGGCCCGGGGTCTTGGGTGACTCATCTGTTGCTAAGCCGCTGATAGGGGCGGCCAGGCCGGGGGAACCCAAATTATAGGCCCGGGAGGAATGGATGCGCTCTCTTGGTGGTGAGCTCAGCTGTGCTGCCTACCCTCCACCTCACACACATTCTGCTGCAGCACCACAGGCTACCACCTGGAGGCACCAAAGTATCCACAGCCAGATTCTGGTGGTCTCTGGGGAAGCCCCCCAACATTTGGCAGTTGGCCCCAACAAATCTTCAGGATTACCCTAGAGAGAATTTTGCTCCCTTTTCTACAGGGGGCTGATGGATGGGCTGTGCCTTTCCAGCCTAAGAGGCAGTTGCTTCAAAGGAAGTAGACTCCTCTGTCCACAAAACTCCCTGATTCCCTTCTTCCTTCCCATATCCCAAGGTCAAAACAAGCCTCCTCTCCCTCCAACATCTCTCCCCATGCTTATTCCAGGAGGGTGGTTTTCTCCTGATTTTCCATTTCAAGCTTTTTTGGGGGGAGGAGGGTGTACTGGGGATTGAACTCAGGGGCCCTAGACCACTGAGCCACATCCCTAGCCCTATTTTTGCATTTTATTAGAGACAGGATCTCACTGAGTTGCTTAGCGCCTCACTAAATTGCTGAGACTGGCTTTTAACTCGTGATCCTCCTGCCTCCACCTCCTGAGCCACAGGGATTACAGGCGTGCACCTCCATGCCTGGTTCATTTCAAGCTTTTATATCTGTGGTTGGGTGGGGAATATGGCTCAGTGACATAGTGTTTGTCTAGAATGCTTGAGGCTCTGGATTTAATCTCCAGTGCATGTGTGCACACACACACACACACAATGTTATCTGTGGTCAAAGATGATACAGAGGGAAAAATAAGGCAGGGTAAAGGAGATTGGTGATGGGATTCTATTTTATATAAGGGGACAGACGAGGAAGTGAAGGAACAAAGGCATAGAGATATCTAAGGAAGGGCATTCCAGAAGACAGAAAAACAGGTGTACAGACCCTGAAAAAGTAGCATTCTTGTTATTTTCAAATAATCAGCAAAGAGGTCAGTATGGCTAAGGGGGAGGAATACATAAGGGAGACAATGGTAGGCAACAAAGATGGAGTACTAGGAAGGAACAGGGTTAAATCACCTGAGGCCTTGTAGACCACTGTAAAGATTTTGGCTTGATTCAAGTGAGATGAGGAATGACTGGAAAACTTCTAGCTGTGTAATGAACTTATTTAACTTCCTTTTTAGAAAGGATGGCCCCTTGTGCTATATGGAGAACAGGAACAGACTGTGGGGAAAAGCTTAGAAGCAAGGAGTCAAATAGGAGGCTATTACAGGAATGAAAGCAAGAGTTGATGGTGGCTCCTATTAGCATGTAGCAGTAGAGTAGTGAGATTGGATAAGAGTCTACCTATTGAAGATTGAGGGACAGAATTTGCTGATGGCTTAACTCAGAGTATAAAGCAGATTGAGTCAAGGATGACTCCAAGATTTTTGTGTTGAGCAACTGAAACAAAGGAGTTGCCATTTACTGAGATGGAAATGACTGAAGAAAGAGCAAGTTAAGGCAATGGAGGAATCAAGAGTTCAGTTTGCACAGGTATATTTTGAGATGCTATTTAAGTGTTAGATGTGCAAGTTCATATTTCAGGACTAGAGATATAAATTAGGAAGCATAAGACTGGAAAGTTTACCAAGGGAATTCATGAAGACAGAAAAGAAGGTCAATTAAACCTGGGTATGCTCCAGTGTTTAGAAATTCAGTAAACAAGGAGCATCCAGGTAAGGAGCCTGAAAGGGAAGATGCCATTGAGATAGGAATAGTATTTCAAAACCAAATGAGAGGAAGGAAGAAGGAAGTGGCTGGGTGCAGTGGCACACACCTGTAATCTCAGCAGCCCAGGAAACTGAGGCAGGAGGATCACGAGTTCAAAGCAAGCCTCAGCAACTCAGCAAGACCCTGAGCAACTCAGTGAGACCCTGTCTCTAAATAAAATATAAAAAGGGCTGGGGTTGTGGTTGAGTGGTAAAGCACCTGTGGGTTTAATCCCAGGTACAAAAAAAAAAAAAAAAGAAGAAGAAGAACTAGTAGTAGTAGTAGTAGTTGTGGTTGTTGTTGTTGAGCAGTGTCTGCTGTTCCAGGATGGCTAACTAGGATAAGAACTAAGAATTGGTTATTGGATAGAGCAATACAGATTTTCATTAATGGTTTTGATAAAGAAGTATAGTGAGTTGAAAGGTATGATTGGAGCTGGGGGCAGTAGCACATACCTGTAATTCCAGCTCCTCTGGAGGCTGAGGTAGGATGATCACAAGTTCAAGGCCAGCTCAGGCAATTTAGTGAGATCCTGTTTCAACAAACAAAAGTAAACAAAAAAGTGCTGGGAATGTATCTCAGTGGTTAATAGCCCTGGGTTCAATCACTAATACCTAAAAAGAAGAAGATAAATTTTTAAAAGAGAACTTCTAAGGGGCTACCAGTGTGGTTCAGTGGTTAGAGCACTTGCCTAGTATGCATGAGGCCCTGAGTTTCATCCCTAGCACTGCAAAGATGTAATTTGAATAGAAAGAAAATAAATTGATGCTAGAATTAAAATTAAAATTTCAAGTTTTGTAGTAAAAGAAGAGGAATGGGGCAATCTTGGACAATAATGTAGATCAAACAAAGCATTTGAATTTTTCAGATAGAAGATATTACAGCATGTTTGCATGTTGATAGATGTGTTCCAAAAGAGAGATAAATTGATGATGTAAGAAAGAAAGATGGGGGCTGAGGTTGTGGCTCAGTGGTAGAGTGCTCATCTAGCATGTGTGAGGCACTGGGTTTGATCCTCAGCACCACATTAAAATAAAATAAAATAAAGGTATTGTGTCCATCTACAACTTAAAAAATTAAAAAAGAAAGAGGGGACAATTGATAAAATATGATTTGATCAGAATAGTAATTTAAGCAGACCATATACCATGTGACTCAGACCTAGGGCCTTTCCCCTCTTTCCTCCATCCTCCTGGGAAATGGAGGAACAAGAAAGAACATAAGCTTTGAGTCAAAATGGTTTGGGCTGTATTGCTGATCACTTATTAGTTGTGACCTTGTACAACTGCCTCACTTATTGGTCCTCTGTAAAATGGGAGAGAGGAGAGAGGTAAAAGAAGAGATTTTTCTTTCCCTCCAGGAGCCATCTCTGAGTGACATTGAGGCATGATAACCAAGCTGGCAGTGCCCCCTATGCCCCACACAGGGAACAGCACCACTTCTTCAACAGAAAACCATGATGGCCATGAAGTTGAATTGAAGTCCCTGGGAGAGAAAAGTGTACTATTGTTAAGATGATCTTGGGCACTCAAAGCACCACTGTGTGGTGAGAGCAGAAAGAACCAGAATTTTAGGAGAAGATAGTAACTTGGTAGCAAAATCCAGAGAGAAGCAAACACATAGAGGCCAAATTTCCTAATCTAGGTTCAGTTCAGTCAGCAGCCTTTTTCTTCCTAGTCCTCCCTTACCTTACACTTACTCTATTGCCCACCCTATCTTTTTCTTTTTCTGTTACTTTTTTCTGAGTACTGGGGGTTTAATTCAATAACATTCCACGAACTACACCCCCAGCCCTTTTTTATTTTTTATTTTGAGAAAGGGGGTCTCACTAAGTTGCCCAGGCTGACCTCAAATATATAATCCTCTTGCCTCAGCCTCACCAGCAGCTGGGATTACTGGCATGTGCAGCCTCCATGGCTGGCTCCACTGCCCACGCTTTCTAATCCTAGTCATCAAAGACTCAGTCATTCAGGCCTGGTTCATCTTCATACCCACTTCATTGTAGGTTCAGCTCTCTCCCCCAGTGATATGCACAGGTTGACACATACCACAAGGTGACACACTGTAGGATGACACACGATACACAGGGTGACTGTGACACATCCACAATATGTAATCTTCCCATGCACACACTCATCCACCCACCTTCCAACAGTACCAGACACTCTGCATCCCTTAGTCAAGCTTCTGGGTTTCTCCTATCATAGCTGCCACCTCCTTCCTGACACACTGCCCCAGGCAGCAACTGTAAAAAAAAAAAAAAAAACTTGATGATCTCTTCTGACTTGAGTCCAAAATTCTTTGGAAAGAGTTCCTAACCTCACTCCTCAGAACTAGGAGTTTCTGAACATATCAATACACAGGAGCATGCACCTTCAGAACACAGTGTACATTTTCACTTGCACACACACACAGCCACTTGTGCTTTCCTCTGGCTCACATGTGCAACCTGCTGCTGCTTCAGGTTTCTCTCCACCGCCAGGCTCTGTTTGGTCAGCCCACCCCTATCCTAACCTCGGGATTTCCCTGACCACAGCTCCACCCACGTCCCTGTCTCCCCCTTTTCCTTCTCTGTCCAGCCGTTGGGGGTTCCTGGGTGGGAAAGCATCTCCCTAGTCTCTGGCCAGAACCACAGGTTTCCTTCCTTCCGCCACTCAGGATGGGGGAGAGAAGGGACACCAGTGGGGCCAGGGTGACGTCGAGGGGACAGCCCCATCGCGCTTGGAGAGGCGGTCTGAGCTCCTGGGGGATTCTCCCCAAGCACATTGTCCCCGCGCCCCCTGGCGGATGCTGGTCCCCGACGGGCTCCCGACGCGAAGAGTAGTGAGGCAGGCGCGCGCGTGGGAGGGCGTCCCAAGGGGAGGGGTCGGCGGCCAGTGCAAGCCTGGAGGCGGGGGCCACCGGGCAGGGGGCGGGGGGGGGGGTAAGCCCCGACGGTCATCCCGTCAGTTCTTTGCTCAGACGGGAGGGAGCCACGGCCCCGCTCGCTGCCCATTGTCTGCGCCCCTGACTGGTGCGCCCTGGTGCCACAGTGCAGCCTGGCTGGGCAGCCTTCTCTCGTCACTCCAGCCAGCGCCGCAAGTATAAGAGGCGGTGCCGCCCTCCGTGGCCGCCTCAGCCCACCAGCCGGGACCACAAGCCATGCTGCCCGCCGACCGCCTCCAGGGTTGTTAAAGCCAGACTGCAAACTCTCGCCACCGCCGCCACCGCCGCGTCCGGTCCCACCGTCGCGGGCAGCAGCCAAAGCCGCCGCAACTGCAGCACAGAAGCGGCCAGGCCAGGCAGGCCATGGGGCGCTGGGCGCTGCTGCCCAGCTGGGTTTCTGCTACTCTGCTACTGGTGCTGGCCGCTCTGCCCGCTGCCCTGGCCGCCAACAGCAGTGGCCGATGGTGGTAAGTGAGCTGGTGTCGGGTGGTGGCCTCTTGTTCTGGGGGACAGAGCCAGGGGCCAACCCTATCCAGCTCCTATGCTCTGGGACCCGTCAGTCCACAGACATTGCCCCATCTCTGACTTCCTTCTGCCACACCAAAGGTTGCTCTAGCCCAGAGCTGCACCAGAAATTCCATTCCATTTCCTTTCCTTTTTTTTTTTTTTTTTTTTTTTTTGGTTTTAGGGATCAGGGCCTCGGGCATGCTTCAGCAATGGGTCTACCATTGACCTGTATCATCAGCCCCAGAGATTCCATTTCTGATGAAGTGGGATCAATGATCTGCCGGCAGAGGCCCACCATAACCCAGTCGGGGAGCCCACTCCCATCTAGGATTGTCATTCCCTTTTGAGCCCCAGTCTTAACCTCATACTCGTGGTTGCGCCACAGATTTCCAAAGATCAGAAGTGAAGGACTAGGTGTTCACTTAGAAAGGAGACCCGAAAAGGGTGGGACTCCTGGGCATCTCACTCCTAGGCAAGAACTGCAGGTCAGGATTTCTTCCTGGTACTGATCAGAAGGAGGCTGGGAAAGCCCAGGTACTCTTGCAGTCTCCATGTTCCCCATGACTCTTCTGTGCAGTCCCTGGACCCAGGACTCTGAGAATCCCCTAGGACTACTAGACACCCAAAAGTCTGGATACCCAGTTCTTTCATACTAGTAAGTCTGGGAGCACAAAGACATTACCTTATAATTGATCTCCCCCGAACTCTCCTGGTATGTATTCCCAAAGGTCAGGTGCATGCTCCTATGTATTGGTATGTTCAGAAACTCCTAGTTCTGAGGAGTGAGGTTAGAAACTCTTCTTTATGATTAGAGTGCAGGTCCCCTTCCCCAGTCTGAGCTCCCATTGTGCGTCCCACCAGGGGTATCGTGAACATAGCCTCCTCTACGAACCTGCTAACCGACTCCAAGAGTCTGCAGCTGGTGCTGGAGCCCAGTCTGCAACTGCTGAGCCGCAAGCAGCGGCGGTTGATCCGCCAGAACCCGGGGATCCTGCACAGCGTGAGCGGTGGGCTGCAGAGCGCAGTCCGGGAGTGCAAGTGGCAGTTCCGGAACCGCCGCTGGAACTGCCCCACTGCTCCGGGGCCCCACCTCTTCGGCAAGATCGTCAACCGAGGTGAGTACCCAGGAAGTCGACGCTTCCGGGACCAGGGGAAATGCAGGGTCACCCCCAGGGCATAGGCCGGTGAACGCAGGAAAGATATTCCAGGCACTGCAGGGTCACACAATCAACCCACCTAACTGCTTCTTGCCGAGCGCCAGTTCCAGGCCAGACTCTACCAGGCGCTTTCCAGCTGTATATTTTCGGTACCAAGCTTAACTTTTCTGAGCCACTGACCAAAAGAAAATGAATTCCAGGTTGTGCACGCTGGATGACGGTCGCTTTCCTCAATCTATCGAAGTTCCTGGGAAGCTGCTGTCTGCCCGCGTGTGTCTTGCTTCATGCTTAGCAAAGTTTGCTACGCCAAAAGCTGCGTAGATTGTTTGGGCTGCGTAGAAGTCTTGACAATGCAAAGTTCTTCCGTTCCTCTCTTGTTTTTCTCTCTGGTGCTGCCTCACTTCCTCTCTAAAGCCAAAAAGTGTTCTGAAAAGTCTCCGTAAAGCGTGACTACCAGTGTGTTGGTGGGTTCGTGCCCACGCACCTGTTTTCTCTGTGAGACCTAGAAATAAGGTTTCCAACACTACCGCTAGTCTAGCCCTCAGGACTCCAAGGGTGGAATCCGGGCGTGGGACTCCAAGGTTCCAAGCCCTCCAAGGAGGGCGCTGGCCGGACCACAAGCGCCTTCTCTTGATTCTTAGTCTCTTCACCCCTAGGCTGTAGGGAAACAGCGTTTATCTTCGCCATCACCTCTGCCGGGGTCACCCATTCGGTGGCGCGCTCCTGCTCAGAAGGCTCTATCGAGTCTTGCACATGCGACTATCGGCGGCGCGGTCCTGGAGGCCCCGATTGGCACTGGGGGGGCTGCAGTGACAACATTGATTTCGGCCGCCTCTTCGGTCGGGAGTTCGTGGACTCTGGGGAGAAGGGGCGGGACCTGCGCTTCCTCATGAACCTTCATAACAACGAGGCGGGCCGCACGGTGAGTAGACCTGAGAGGCTCAGCACCCGAAGCTGAGTGACCAGGCTAACCTCGGGCTCAGAAAGTAAGAGTCGGTAGTAAGATGAGGACTCCAGGGGTGGGCGTCCTGAGGGAAGCAGGAGATTTGGAAAAAAGCCAAAAAAGAGATAGTGGCTGAAGCAAAGGAATTTCTGGGTTGAGAGCAGATAGAACGGAAGAAGATACAAGTTATACAACACATAGAATGGATTGCCTATGGCCCCTCCTTTGCAGAGATTACAAAAAAAAAAACAGGGTAGAGAGGCCGAGAGTGACTCGCTGGTGTGCAGCTGAGTTTGGCCAAGTGTCCAAATCTCAGAGGGACAGGGACATTTCGCGCCTTCTCCTGGGTTCCGCTAGGACTTTGCTGAGGTCCCGTCCGCGTCCAGGAGGGGGCGGTATCTGGAATAAGGGCTCTGACTGACAATGCCTTGGGACATCTTTTTTCCTTCTTCCCCCCCACCCCGCTCCCCACCCCAGACAGTGTTCTCTGAGATGCGTCAGGAGTGCAAGTGCCATGGGATGTCTGGTTCATGCACGGTGCGCACCTGCTGGATGCGGCTACCCACGCTGCGTGCGGTGGGCGACGTGCTGCGTGACCGCTTCGACGGCGCATCGCGCGTACTCTACGGCAACCGCGGTAGCAACCGCGCTTCACGGGCGGAGCTGCTGCGCCTAGAGCCCGAAGACCCTGCGCACAAGCCTCCTTCCCCTCATGACCTCGTCTACTTCGAGAAATCACCCAACTTCTGCACATACAGTGGACGCCTTGGTACAGCAGGCACTGCAGGGCGCTCCTGCAACAGTTCATCACCGGCGCTGGATGGTTGCGAGCTGCTCTGCTGTGGCCGGGGCCACCGCACACGCACGCAGCGCGTCACCGAGCGCTGCAACTGCACCTTCCACTGGTGCTGCCACGTCAGCTGCCGCAACTGCACTCACACGCGCGTACTGCACGAGTGTCTGTGAGGCGCTGCGCAGACTTGCCCGGGAACGCTGTCCTCCAGACTTCCCGCGACAGATTCGCTGGCATTCAAGACCCTGATTGATATTGGCCCGCTCCAAAATCTTCAGCCACATTCCCCGCGGTTCATACGTGTCCCATCTCTCCCATCTCCTCCTCTCTGGGGACTCCTCAAACCACTTGCGTGGGGCGGCATGAACCCTCTTGCCATCCTGATGGACCTGCCCCAACCTACCTACCTCCCTCTCCGCGGGAGACCCCTTGTTGCACTGCCCCCTTGCTTGGCCTGGAGGTGAGAGAAGGATTCGTCCCCTCCCCTACCCGGGGTCAGCTCCTGACGCTGCCCTGACTGTGCCACACTACACCAGCGTCCTCTCTGCCTCTTTCATTTCCCCTTTGTCCTCCCTATTCTCCTGGTCCCTACAGGCGCCTTACCACTCTCCAGCGATGGGCGCAGACCCTGAACACACACCTGGGCATCAGGGCCATTCTCCTCCCTGCTTCAAGCGAAGCCGAGAAGTTCCAGGGTGAAAGGGCAGCTGTGGTGATGTGGAAGAGGAGGTGGGGGACGCAGCAAAAAATCCCCCTTTCTTCCAGCCTCTCTGTTGGAGCCATTGAACAGCTGTGAGCCATGCCTCCCTCAACCACCTCCCACCCTTTCCTGTCCTGCCTCCTCATCAGTGTGTAAATAATTTGCACTGAAACGTGGACACAAAGCCACGAGTTTGGTTGTTGTAAATAAAATTATTTATTGTGCTGGGTTCCAGCCTGGTTTGCAGAGACCACCTTCACTCTAACCCAGTCCCTCTCCATTCTTCTCTCCTTTTGCCCTCCAACCTTCTCTCCTCTCCTGTTTCTCAAAGATGACTTTGCCTACCGGAATCAGTATTTCCTTCCACTGTAGCTATTAGTGGCTCCTCGCCCCCACTAATGTAATATCTTCCTCTGCAGAATAAAATCTCTATTTTTATCAATGACTTGGTAGTGTTTCCTTGAATCCAGAACACAACATGGTTTGTGGTATCCACTTACCTTCCTCTTACTACTCCCAGATTTGGGTGCTTACTTCTCTTAAACAAATAGGGTATATTGTTGGGGAACTGGTTTCCTGGACCTGCAAGAAGATCCTGAAATTCTGAGCCTTGGATGACCTAATGAGACCAGATGGGACCCTGGTCTCCAGAAGAAACTGGTCAGAAGCTTAAACATCCTGCAGGGTTCATCTTCCTATTCTTTTTTTAAAAAAATATTTATTTTATAGTTGGACACAAAACCTTTGTTTCACTCAATTATTATTTTTTTAAAGAGAGAGAGAGAATTTTTTAATATTGATTTTTTAGTTTTTCAGTGGACACAACATCTTTGTCTGTTATGTGGTGCTGAGGATCCAACCCCGGGCGGCCATACGCATGCCAGGCCAACGCGCCACCACTTGAGCCACCTCCCCAGCCCCAATTATTTTTTACGTGGTGCTGAGGATTGAACCCAGGGTCCCACGCACTCTACTGCTGAGCCACAACCCCAGCCCCTCATCTTCCTATTCTAAAAGCAACTTTCTATGTGATATAGGCAAGTGCATTCATTTGATGAATGGGGATTAAACATACTCTGAGCCTGCTTTTCCTCCTAGAAGACCACTGAGTGATAACTGTGGCCATGTTCTGAAGAGTAGAAAGAGAAATCCAAGCAGAAAGGATGCTATTGCCCTTGATATAGATCTCTTGTTCCCTGAATCCTGTCTCCTACTAGGACCCAGGTATAGGGCAGTGGTGAAGCACCCCTTTCTTCTGCAAGACAGGGAAATATCTTCTTAGAATCCCAGTTATACCTTGGACGCAGGAGCATCCAGGTAACAGGTTATTGACTCTTTTCCTCAGAGAAGGATCTCCATGCTGAGGAAGCTCAGAATGATGATGGGAGAGAAGAAAGGAGCAGGAAGTTTAGAATTCAAATGTGGACTAGGCTTAAACCACCCTAAACCAAAAGGAGACAAAGTGTGATCCATAACCAAATCATTAAACTGGCCATTCCCACAGAGTCAGAATGAGGATTCTGTTACTAACAATTCCTAGAGGCTACCTCTGTGTGCACATTCACTGGAGTCAGCAGGAATGCTAATCCTGCCCATAGTTCTAAACCTATGTTAACTCTAATCCTCTCCCTGTCCCCAGGTCTAGGCTGAAGCCTAGCCTGAACCCTAACTTCAGACAAACACTAGCCCCTTCCTAAACTCTAATGTCTGTCTCTAATCTTAACCCCTCCCCTCCAGGGAAGGACCAGAAGGGCAGCAGGAGCTAAGAACCCCCCCCCCAAGGGCAACAACTGGTCCCAGCCAACAAGAGAATTTCCCCCTCTCCCCAGGACTCCTTTGCTGTTGTCACTGCCTCCCACCTCTCCCTGGGTGTATGAACTCTGACCCTTGTTGGCCTTTGGGATGTGTGTGGGGGTAGGGAAGTGGATCCAGGATCTGCTCAACCCTGCAAGGACATCCCTTTCCCTTTCTCTTCTTTGGTTAAGGCAGCACCATTTCAGTTCTGATGGGCAGCCTAGTGGGAAGAATAAAACCCTTATTGATTCTGAGTAGGAGACACCTGAAAGACCTTGGGTTTCCAGTAAATATCTTTTGCTTTCTCAACCTCTTTTGCCTTGATCATTAAACAGGAAAGAAAGATTATTGTTACTTATTCTTCAGGGAGGATATGAGGTTCAGATGAGATCATGTACATGAAGGCTTCAGTCATTTGAAGCTTACTGACACCTCTTCTGTACTGGGTATACACCAAATGCTGGCAATATGGTGTTGTACAAGCCATATTTCCTGCTAGGAGAAGTTTACAGTCCAGCCAGAGAATCAAACACATAAACAGATACTGTCAGTTTAAAGGGTGGGAGGGAGTACAATGAAGGTTCAATGAAGTGTAAAGTCTTCTGCATGTACCTGAAGACTTTACTAAGGTACTAAGCTTAAAGACAGACTCCCATACATAAGCCCTCAGCTTGGAGATCCTTCTCTTCCTGAGGCTGGAAAGTGCAGAATATTCTGGGAAGTACAAAACAGGGCTGGGCCCTAACAGGGCATGCGCTAATAAAAGGGGGAAAAAAGGCTCTTAAAAGGGCTGGGGTATAGTTTAGTGGTAGAGTGGCGAATATGCTGGAGGTCCTGGGTTCTATCCCTAGCATGGGGTAGGAGACAAGTAAAAGGAGTGCAGGATCCGAAAAGCATGGCACAGGAACTAATTACTTTGTTATTATGATCATCTGTGCTGTTCTCACTTGGGGCTAGAGTGGGTAGATCCTGGGGGAAAGAACAGCTGTGCCTAGAAAGAGTCTCATAAAGGTCTCAGGGCTGAGTGGTTCAGGGTAGTGGCCACAGGATAATGTCAGCAGGAATGTGCCTGATGCTCTGGCTCCCACCCACCTCTGATCTTCAGGTGCCACATACCCAAGGGGATCTGAGGCTGGCAGGGACCCTGGATACAAGGTTGGCCTCAGAAAATGAGGGAGGTACTAGTCCTGAAATATCCTCAGGGGAGTGGAAAAGCTGAGAGGACTGAGACAGCAGTCTTGCGTAGTCCCTGGGGGGTCAGCAAACTGGCACCCGCACACACCCTGCCACACGCACCCTGGAAAAACCCTGTCAGTGGGGCTGCAAATACCCTAGGGTCCAGTCCACTCCCCCCACCCCCTGTCCCAGGCTGGCTCAGTCTTCCTCTCCAGGACAGAGAGAGAAAAATAACAAAATGAGGAGAAAAT